TGTATGGAAACCAATTTGACAATAAATTTCATATATTAAAAAAAAAATAAAGACAGTCAAAAATGGTAAAAAAAAAAAAAGAAAGAAAGAAAAGAAATCACGGCTGGATAACACAGTCTTTTTTTTTTTATTTTTTTTTTCAACATTTATTTATTTTTGGGACAGAGAGAGACAGAGCATGAATGGGGGAGGGGCAGAGAGAGAGGGAGACACAGAATCGGAAACAGGCTCCAGGCTCCGAGCCATCAGCCCAGAGCCCGACGCGGGGCTCGAACTCACGGACCGCGAGATCGTGACCTGGCTGAAGTCGGACGCTTAACCGACTGCGCCACCCAGGCGCCCCTGGATAACACAGTCTTAAGAGGAAAGGAGAGATAGGCAGCTCGGGGCCTTTGTGAGGTCTACAAACAAAACATGCCCAAAGAGTTTACTTTATTTTCAATTTTTCCGAAGACCTTTTCCCCCAGGGCATCCAGGGCTGGCTCTCTGACCTTGGAAAACAGACCTTTCTGGAGATTTCAGCTCCTATCACTCAGAAAATGGAAGGGGTGGGGCGAACAAGCTTTTCTCCAGACCCCAGATATCAGGAAACCAAGACCCGAGTCCAGTGACTGCCGAAGTCGGGGAACGGCTGGTCAGTCACCTTTACCGGTGTCCTACCCTGAGCAGACCGCAGCTCTCCCTCTGTCCCTTTGCCTTTGCCAAGAGAAGAAAACGCAGCTATGTTCTTCCCTGCCGTGTGGCCGAATTCCTAGGGCCGCGCGTGACTTGTATAAATTTTCCTTTATTTATTTATTTTTTCCTTCAAGCCATCTGGGACTCTGGAAAGCAGTCTCATTCAGTTTCGGGTGTTTTTCCTTAAGGCAAAGGATGAGTACCCTGGGGAAGAAGCTTGCCTGACTCTCAGGGTCGTGGAAGTTTGGGAATCTAGGCTCCTGTGGCCTCATCAGTCAGAGGGGTAGTGGACTGTTCCTGGCGCCCGCTGGGGAGTTGGGCAGGCTGCTGTGTAGACCGCAGAATCCCATCCTCTGAGTCCTCAACAACGCCCCTAACATCTTCTCTGCACTCTCTCCTACGCAAGATCATTTTGGCCGAAAAGTCCAGAAGCATAAATCCCAGCATAGTGTTGAGCCGTATCAGTTCCTTCTCGTGATCTTAGATGAGCCACCTGATGTCTTTGAGCCTATGTCCAGGTCTGGAAAACGAGGATGTGATCTGATTGTCTTCTTCTGTCATCATGTCTACAAGCAAACACCTCACGCAAACCTCACTCGCCTCTCATTTTGTGGCAGAAATGGTAATAAGAGGGGCAGCCAATTGAGTTGAGTTGTAGGACATTTCGGCCATATGGTGCTAAGGGCTGAATCGTCAAGTCCCCAGCGTCAACCCA